CGGTTGTACTAGCGGTGCGCGTGGGCAATAGCCCTTCTATTACACTATTGTCTTAAGCGATGTGGTTCCAACGACGAGCGCGGCGGGAAGAGGGCGCGCGTCGGCCGCGCGTGCCTTTTTATTCCTTCGGTTGCGATGATTGCGTAATATTCTAGAATCATCTTCTTTCCCCTCCACCCACCCCACCACCCCAATGTGTCGATAGGAGGGTATGAATAATATCGTTTGGAAAGGGATAAACGATTTGGCAAGCCTACCGTCAAATAAATAAATACGAATGGTTTTCCGCGCAACCAGCCCAGTTCTTCGCTAACACATCTGTTGTAGCAAAGAAATTTAGAAAACTATTGCAAATTTACATTAAAACTGACGAATTTTATCATATTGTTACGAGCTTGAGGTTCGTGACAATAAAAACTGTCGATTGAATTACCAAAATTTACACTTTTATTACCTAACACCAATTAAAACTTAAAACACTAATAATTAACCACACTGATTCACTTTATTTCGCTCCGAAGCTTCGCTTGTCTCGCCAAATTCAATACTGCCCCGATCGGCTTGGCTTTATATAGGGCTCTTCCACGAAAACATCTAGAATAAGGGGAGTATTAGTAATGTTTATAACATTGCTAATATTCTTTTTATTTTAAAAAGTATAAAAGTATAAGTATAATATTCCAGTAAATAAGGGGCCCCGACCGACCAGGCGCAGAAAGTTCGAGTGTGGGGGCTTCTAGAAAGCTTAGTTCCTCAATTCGATACTAGATGGCGGTGTTGGTGAAAGATTAGTCATGGCATTTTCTGGAAAGCTCTCCTCGCTCTGTTACCCGCCACTAGATGGGGCTAGTGCCAAGTACCAGCTCTCAACTTAGGCGCCCAACAATATTATCTATATATATATATATATATATATATATATATATATATATATATATATATATATATATATAATATGTAACGTAATTAACGCACACCCTCAGACACCCCAATTAGTATATTATGGTATAGTCATAATACATACACTGAATTTTTAGTTAAACATTTTTATGCACTGATTATTTATCAAATTAGTTATACTAATTCCGGAAGAATGTTGTGGTCACAGTACAAATCCACGAAGGCAAAGACTTTAACGTGATTGAAATAAAGTTCATTTTTCTTTATTTTTACTGAATGGCAGAATTAGTAATAATACACATAAAACTACACTCTTAAAAGTCTTATTGCCTTAAGTTACGGTCCATTTCAGTTTGTTGTGACTGTACAGATTTAGTGTGACTGTAATTTACGTAGTTTTAATTATTTTTGGGATAAAAAATTACCTATATTAAAAATGATAGGAATCGATTCAGTAAACGATTCTGAACAAACTACTTTCTCAAAGTGCGTTAATTATGTTACATGTTGTGTATATATATATATATATATAGATATCGAATTACATCTACTCAATAATGAAATTAGTGTTGGTAATTGCCTGGACAAATTGCAGAATTTATAAATTACGCGATAATATTATTATTTAAAACGAGGAAGTTTAATTTGATTGAAATGCAATAAGTAATGCGTGGGCTTTAATAGGATGTAACGGTAACGGTACTTGATAACGGCAATACGTAATATGTTTGTTGATTAAGTTTGTGGTTATTGAAAATTAACGAATAATTAAAGTGTTTGTGTTGAATTGTACTTGGGTTCAAAAGTTGGAATAACAAATAACAGTGTTTTCCAATTATCCACCACAAGTGGATTTTTTTGGGTGGATAAACGGAATAACCCACAAAGAGTATTGTATTGTATTCTTACGGCTTTATTCATAAAAAATATAATTTTATTTAAATTTATAAAACGATGAATAGATCGAAAAACATACGCAAACATGGCACCCAACGGTTCCAAATTCCAAGGGACAGTCCCGCATCACAGCCTACGAACATAGTTAGTCATCGCGTTTGATGTTGTCGGAAAAACCGACATAAACAATGGATTACTAGAGTTGTCAGAAGGAAGTAACCAAAAAAGTAAAAAAAAACATATTTTATTTTATTTCACGTATAAACAAATTAAATAACTTAATCAGCCAATTTGTGTTCAGAAATAATAAATATACTAGGTTATAATAAGCAGTTACAAAAAAAAAATAATTGTATAAAATTGTCAACTGTCGCATACAATATAAGCATTTTATAACGTATTTTTGAGTAATAACGACTTATTTAACAAATGTTTTTTTTATTTGAATAAATGTTGTATAACTTTCCGCCCGCGTTTCGCTCTGCACCGCACCGCACGATTGCTCCGTCTGGACTTCTTCGATGACCGACTATTAGTAGTAGTTAGACTGTACCCACGCCTTTATAATATAAAATGTAAAGCAATGGCCACGGTACAATAATTATTCTTTAAGATTTTTTTGGTTACATACTCATCAAATTTTATATTAATTTTGTTAAAAATAATTGGTAATATTTTCATGATAGAAATAATGTAAATTGACTTGAATTTAGAGGTCACTTATAGGTAATTTATTGGATAAACTTTTACATTCACATGCGATATTTACAGTAGGAACAGTTATTACGGCAGCTGGCGTCGGGATACAGATAGTAGTAGTATAGTTCTTGCAATTTACGAAGTCGAGTGAGCTTTACTCGTGGTTAATGCCACATTGCGATAGTTTGCGTGTCCTTTTTTTATAGAATAAAGGTCACAGCTCATTAGAGCCGACCGGTACCCGACCCTCACCGCCTCGTCGCCAGACTCGTAGTCCACAGATGGACCACGGGTGGTCGCCGCGTTGTCACCAGTGAACCTCGCGTGGTCTTCGAGTGGACCTCGCGTCGTCAACGAGTGGACCTCGCGTGATCAACGAGTCACCCTTAAACCATACAATAAATTATACTTACGAACTTCTTCTATAAGTTTTTCTTTGTTCATTTTAAAAACAACAATGCATCCGACACATTCGAAAGAAAGGCTCGAAATGAAGGGTTGGTGGAGAGCGCTGCATCGCTCTCGCGTGAACCGCGCGTTGCCAGCTCGCACTGCACGCGAGGCAATCATGCCAACAGCGAGATATCATCGAGTGGTCACCTCGTGAGCGAGGTGATCCGGTGATGGTACGGAGTTGATGTAGTGAGCTCAGGCCCATACAAATCCATACGAAAAATACGAACCGCTCGAGATGAGGCGGTGAGGGTCGGGTGCCGGGTGGCTCTAATGAGCTGTGACCTTAAGGGTGACAAACGAGCACACAGTACACCCGATGGTAAGTGGATGCTATGACCCGTAGACATCTACATTCATCCTCGATTAAGAATCAAAACGTAGATGAGTTGTCACTCTTGAGGACCATACGAAACACAGCAGTTAAGCTTCTGTTTTGCGCTGGTATTCTGTGAGAGCGTGGGTTGCGAGGTTGCGACTTGCGACCGTGCCGTCGCTAACCATACATGCATTTTTACCAGGACTATCTCACTACGCGTTTTTTTAAAATATACCTACGATGCGCGGCCGCCTGCAAGAGGCTAATTTAATGACGTTGTCAATCGCGCGCTCGAGTGGACGCGCACCTTATGTTAACAAAAAAGCATTTTTCTCTTATAAGTACTTAGGCACTTTTGATGATGAGTTGAGTTTTTACACAAGTATGACCTCTCAAAATGCCAAAAGGTATTGCATAGCATACGGGTGCTTAAAAAACAAAAGGAATATCGACTTTTCGTTCTTTACTGTTCTTATTATTTATTTCAATTTTCAAAAGAGCATATTATTTAATCGATTTTATTATTTATGTAGTAAGGTAACGGAACCCATAATGGACAGTTTAAGACCAATTTTTTATGTTTTCTACTATCTTTTGTAGATAAACGTTCATATGAATGCAATTGAGGTTGCAAGCGATTAAAGAACTTATTGGTAATAAGTTTATTTATTGAAAACTATACTATTCTTACTACTTTTAGAGATATACTTAAAAAAACAAAAGCATTTAAAAACACCAGTGATGGACAGGGTTAGTTCCAATTTTGAACATCCAATATTGGAACAACCTCCAGTTATGAACATGTAGTGATGGACATTGAACATTTATGCAAGGAAGAAAATAAAACTTAATTTATATTAATCGGTCTTTCATACTTTTTATTGAGCACAAAACTATTAGTTTTTGTATTAGAAATATAAAAGCAAGTAAAATAATAAACTCTAAAAGAAAAAATATCCGGTAAATATTTTTCCATTTCCTTAATTTTATAGAACTCCCGCTTATTCAAGAGCAAATGGTCATTAATTTTCTCTATAAAATCTTTTACCATGTACCATATTTTATCTGGCTTATCTGGCCGTCTGAAAAAGTGTCCTGCACATAACACCGTTAGACTTATTTCGTATAAATTTCGTTCTGTTTTTTCTATTCTACCCGGAAAATATTCTCCCTCATATTTTACAATAACGTAGGAGCCATTGGTAACACCTATATTTTTCTTCGTACACTAAGTTTTCTTGTTAGAAACTATTTTACTTAAAGGTTCATTTTCAGAGTCTGATTTCCCACTTTGAGCATATTCGGAGTCACCGCTTTCAGCATACTCAACTTCCATGTCATCATTGTCTTCATCGGAAAACAAATCTTGCTGCCTTATATTTTTAGTTAGTTTTTGTTTTTGTTGTTGTTTCTTTTCTAGAATCATCTTTTTCTTTAATATTTTTCTGTCTTTTCTTTGTTTTATTCATTTTTCTTTTTCTTCTTCCTTTTTTTCATTTCATTTTCGATTTTTTTCATGTAATATCGCTACGTTTCACTAGTTATAGCTTACGGTACACGCTCCTTGGTACGTCGCTTCTTAGTTTCGGGTTTGGGCCAAAATAAGACACGTTTAAAAGGTGACGGGATTACCCAGTCTTTTGGTAATGTTCTAGAGGTTGAATGATAGGAAACTGGTGAATTCGTTATAACAGATTTGTGTGGTGTAGCATATACTGTTGAGAAAGATTACTCATTGTTTCCTTGTCCAGTTGGGTGATCGATTATTTTTTTGTCCTGTCCTTGTGCATTCAGTGTTTGCGTATTCTGTTCTGTTGTGATCTGTTCTTGCACATTCTGTTCTTCTATGTTCTTTCTTTGTACATTGAAATTTGGTGCTTGTGTGTTTTGCTCTTGCATTCTGTTTTTCAGTGTTCACTTTTATAATCTGTCCAACTTTATTTAGTACTTGTGTATTCTTTTCTGTTGTGACTTCCGCACTCTGTTCTTCTTTATGCTCTCTTTGTGCATTCAGTTCTTGTGTATTTTGTTCTGGCCTAATCTGTCCTTGTGTGCTCAGTCTTTTATGGTCTGTACTTGTGCATTCTCTGTTTGCATGTACTGTTCTAGCATTTTTATTCTCAGTCCCAGTTATGGACATGGTTGTACATTACTGGATTACGCTATAATTTCTTAAATATTTCAAGAATAAAACATAACATATTATTGTCAGAGTTCACAAAATACAAAATTGGCGAATTTGTTCAAAAATCCAGTAATGAACAAAATGTACATGACTGGGTAGTAACATGTTAGTGTATCCAGTGTTAAACATAGCCTTAATTGTTTATTATTCTTTCCGTTATAAAATGTGCAAGGTTATATTACAATTCTTGATCTACTCCTAAAACACGAAACAAACAGACATTTAATAAAATATGCATAACTATTTCAGAAAAAACGTAATTGTTGAACTCACCAGCATCACGATGCTTACAATAATTTAGGATGTATTCAAATAAACGTCACGACCACATTTTTGCACTCTTCCTGTGAACGAACAAAATGTCTCACGTACTGTCAAACGAAAAACATGGCTTCGGTAGGGTCTATCACTCATGGAGAATATTGCCAGTTATAAGAAATATTCATAGTTTGGCTATTTTTGAAAGATAAAGAATGAAATGTCCATCACGGGTGCACTGTCCATTACGGGTTCCCTTACCTTATTGTAGCATAACAATTGTCTTTGGCTCAATCGTCTGCATCACTGAAAAGAAAATGATTGTAAAGAAAAATGTTATTGGGTACCATTGAAGTAATATGTACTTGGTACGTATAAATTTCGTTTCAATTTATTTGTAAGTATATTTTAAACCATCAAATGGTTGTGTCCTTTATATATTATATTTAAAGATAATTATTTTGTAGTCTATATTTTACATGTTGTAAGCCTCTATACCACCCACTTCTATACTTTAGACTCTTCTATACTTTAACGATGATTTACCATACTACGCTTGGCAGGGGCAGCAGACGTATTTTGCTTTTGCCTTGCTTTCAATAGCTGGTCTTGGATTTGTAGAGTGGTTATATCTTCTATTGAAGTCCAAATATCTCCAGGATTTACCTTTAATTACTGCACCTACTTTAATATGGGTTGACGTCTGCTTCTATATCTCACAAGAGATAGTTTTATAGCCATTAGGCTAACTTGAACGTGCATCTTGCTTACAAGTAAAGTTTTGTAAGTCGCCGCTATTTAATTGTACTATGTTTTGCACTCGACGTATTAGATGTGCGTTCCATCTAGTAGAGTGCAACGTGATAGTACCAAGTAGAGTGCAACAAGATAGTATCAAGTAGAACGCTACAATATAGTACCAAGTGGAGTGCAACCGGATTGTACCAAGTAGATTGCAACAGAAAAGTATCAAGACAAAATAGAGTTCAATAAGATAGTGAAGTACCAAGTGTAGAGTACAACAAAACCCATGGATTTTACTTATAATGTTATTATTGTCAAGAAATTATTTTTCGTCTGCATTTAAGAACTAATTACTAAGCTTACAGTGATAAAATACTATAGTGTTGACTAAGCTTAAAAATTGTAATTTTTTAAGACTTAATATATTATATAAAGGATATATTAATATATAAAGGATATATTATATTTAAAGATAATTATTTTGTAATCAATATTTTACATGTTGTAAGCCTCTATACCACCCACTTCTATACTTTAGACTCTTCTATACTTTAAGGATGATTTACCATACGCTTGGCAGGGGCAGCAGACGTATTTTGCTTTTGCCCAGCTTTCAATAGCTGGTCTTGGATTCAATAGTGGTTATATCTTCTAGTGAAGTGTCCAAATATCTCCAGAATTTACCTTTAATTACTGCACCTACTTTAATATGGGTTGACGTCTGCTTCTATATCTCACAAGAGATAGTTTTATAGCCATTAGGCTAACTTGAACGTGCATCTTGCTTACAAGTAAAGTTTTGTAAGTCGCCGCTATTTAATTGTACTATGTTTTGCACTCGACGTATTAGATGTGCACTCCATCTAGTAGAGTGCAACGTGATAGTACCAAGTAGATTGCAACAAGATAAAGTATCAAGACAAAATAGAGTTCAATAAAATAGTGAAGTACCAAGTGTAGAGTACAACAAAACCCATGGATTTTACTTATAATGTTATTATTGTCAAGAAATTATTTTTCGTCTGCATTTAAGAACTAATTATTAAGCTTACAGTGATAAAATACTATAGTGTTGACTAAACTTAAAAATTGTAATTTTTTAAGACTTAATATATTTTTAAATAGAAATTCTACAAATAAAGTTTATTTTTTTATATGCGAAGTAAAAATTATTGTTTATGATTAACCCATGTGAATGGTTTTAAGTTATCGTAGCAGGTGTTCTTCAGCTTGTTCCTCATCGGCCCTAACAGTCCACTGCAGAAAATGTGTTTTTTTTTAATACACGTATGAACTGGTATAATCGTGATGCTTGGCAGAAGGCATGGTGATCACAGAAAGTATGTGGCGGTGCCATTATTGTGAAACAATAGTTTATATTGAAGGCTGAATCACGTTATCGACGCTGAGACTCTAGCACTCCATTGTAAAAGAAAGTTTGTCGAGTGGCAGCCTCGTATCGGTTAGTGAAGTTTATGGCGGCACGCCACTAAATGAAGTGACCGCCTGGTAAGAGATACAGGTGGCTCAGGATCGTGCGTTGTAGCATTACATAGGAGAAGGGTACATTCAACAGTGGACTTAGTGAAGGGCTGTAGTTGCGACGATGATAATGATGAAGCAATACAATGCTTTGGCATTGGCCGCAAAACATACTTCTTGATGTTGGCGCCGTACGAGAATCAATCATATTTCCTACCGTGGGTGTCGTAAGAGGCAACTATGGGAAACCTCAGAAAGATGTCATGGCTTCCAATAGATCAATTTGAAACATTCTTGAGCAAACGTAAATAGATTCAAAAATCTAATAAGTTAACGATAGTCTCGTTGTCTTAGTGGTAAGTACGAATACCATTGATGTGGTCCCGGTTTGGATCCAAATCAGTTATTTTTCTTTCGAGAAATTTCCAGTAGCAGTCCGCGTCAGGAAATTGGCGAAGTTTCACACCATGCTTCGGAAAGCACGTAAAGCCGTTTGATCTTGTGCTTCCGGTCGTGTTAGATTGCCGTCCCATCGGACTTAGAGAATTAAAAAATTATTTGATGTAATAGTGGTGATATGCGGTCCACTATTAACAGACTCCGAGTGGTCTAGTGGCGGAGAAATGAAACTACTATTTTATGTGCAAACGAATGGTGTATCGAGTATTGAATATGGAATATATTTTTACGTCAACCCTGCCTATATTTATATGTCCGGCTACGTTGTTAGTTTACCAATAGTAAAAACCCCCCCCCACAAAACAAAAAAAAAAAAAAAAAAAAAAAGCCCCAACCCCCCCCCCCCCCCCCCCCCCTCCCCCCCCCCAAAAAAAAAAAACAATTTTTATTTGCCTATCCAATTACAATTCATACATTATTACCAATAAAGATTAATCAAAATATAACTATTACGTGCGTTCCATTTGCCGGCGTGAGACTCGTGTTATCTTCTCGTAGCTACGTCGCTGGACTGGGCTATAAAAGTTGTGCAGGCCGGCGCGCGCGCGCTTGCGCCCTCCTTTCTGCCAAGGAGGGTCGCGTCCGTATACGGCTTAGAGATCTCTAGTTAGACCGTTAAGCCAGTCCCTAAAAGGTGGGGTTTAGTGGGTAAAAGTCTCCACATAATACCAAATACCACGCAACTGGCTGCGTGGTATGCTATGAGCATTCCCCACCTCCCTCCCCTTTCAAGTCCTTTGCTTCGGGCGCAAAAAAAAGCACGCGCACGTAGTCGGCGAGCGGCGGCGGCGTGGGACACAGCCGCGAAACAGCAAGAAGCGAGCTACGGCGTTGAAGAAACGGCTCAAAAATGGTCGACGGATTCATGACGATAGCGGCGTGTGAAGACGATGTGGCGCTGAATGATATTTGCGGTCTTGTTTCTTTATTAGAACGTTAAATATATACGTCAAATTATCTCGCATCGATATGCAGCCCGCAGTATCTCAGTAGCCGGGGATAATTAGGAAATAAATGTTTTCTTCGCCTTCTGTGTTATGGTAGCAGCAGGGTATATATTATTTAGGGTTGATTAGCACGTGCACTGTAATCGTGCCTGCGCAAATAGCTGCCTCTGTTGAGACTGACCGCCATGACCGAGATTTCGTCGTGAGAACATTAGGTAGGTAAGGTAAACAGTGATATAAATCAAATATGGTGAAACGTGGTCAAACACAAAAAACAAAATACATCATGTTCAATTATTTTATTTCAATAAATAAAGCATAACCAGTTTGAAGTGAAACGCAATTAAGACCGTTACACACAGCGAATTTACCATAATCCCTTTTTACAAATGTTTATTAATTCAAATAAAATGTAAAGCATGATAATAAATAAAATTTCAAATAAGGAATGTGTCTTAAGGGCGATATATTATGTAATTTTATGATATACGCTAAGTATTAAATAGCGAACTTTATAAAATGAACAGTTTATTTGATTCATATTAAGTTTTAGCTTTTTATACCCAACATTAAGTGAACCGATTTTAATTACGAGGGTATTTGAACAATCGTAATAAATAAGTCTTATATATAAATGAACCTGTAAAGACATATGTAGTTAATAACATTCGTAGGATTTTCACTTAGATTTGATTGTAGAAAATTTATTCAATTAATAAAACACAAATTTGCATCTATATTAAATTATAAAAACAAAAAATTTCATCAATCACAAATATATTATATATCCATCACTTATTTTTATAGCAGTCGTTTCATGTAATAAATATTTACATTTCATAGTATATCCTACAAAGTAAAACATTACTTTTATTAGAAAAGTACTTACATTACCTGGTTGTAAATATAACACATCGAGCTTAAGGCAGAAGTCGTTAATAGCTTAGTGGGGCAGGCCTGTTTGCAAATAATAGAGCACAGTAATATGAGTATGGATTCACGAAGTGGTCGATATTGGTTTCCCAGGGGTCGACATAAACGAAAACTGATTTTGGGGCTCGACGA